AATTCGGTACAAAGCCACATGGGAACAAACGCCTACAAATTAAGGTAGATGAGACAACGCGTCGGCGGATAAACGGAGCATAATAATAGGCGCAGAAGCATAGTTTGGCTAATGAAAGCATTCACGTTCATTGATGTGGCTGTGGTTGCGCTCGTGGTTGGGGTTGTGTGCATTTAGCGGTATCTTGGCGAGTGTTTGCCTTGCCGAGCTTGTCTACATTTATTTTTAGTCTGTATTCTAATGCGGCAATTCTGCCTGCCTCGGCTTTGCGTTGCTGCTTTGGGGGAGTTTCCGTTTCCTGTGCTTTGCCCTCAGCTAACTTTTCAAACGCACGCACAGAGGAATGTTCGAGGTCTCATCGCAGTTCATTTCATTTGTGGCTTTTATTGAAATCATTTTATTTAAAATTTCCTTTTTTCGCCACGTTTTTGTATACTTTTGTTTGTCTTTGACTTCGTTTACTCAATACGTTGTGGAGGGCGAGCGCAGGAACCTGTAACAGATTAATTAATCAGCTAATTAGTTTTCGTAGCTCGAATGGCAAGGTCATAGATAAGGATAAGGATAAGGAACGAGGAACCTGTAACAGATTAATTAATCAGCTAATTAGTTTTCGTAGCTCGAATGGCAAGGTCATAGAATGCGCAGAGTGAGAGCAAACAATTCGGGGTCATAGAACGCCAAGGTCATTGAGCGGATTAGGGTCAGTTTACCTTAATTTATGTGATGATTTTTGAGTGGAACGCCATAACTTTCGGCAATACAACAAAAGCGATTACTTAAGTTGAATTAACCCAGTGGAGTCAGCTTACACCGAGAGATGGAATAAACATCTGCAGGAAGAAATATAATTGTCCGACTATATACAAGAGTTGCACACTAGTTCAATACCAGCTCATTTGGGCAAGATGAACTAAGATGACTAAAACGAGTAATATCAGTTCCTTCTAATCTTTTGCATAAAGTCCTCATTTCAATGGAAAGCTCTCTAAAATATCTGAAAAAAATTTATTATTCACAACTTGATAAAGTCTTTGAAGTAACGTAGAGTAGATATTCCATTTTTTGGTATATTTATTCCAACCAATTTGATGACTATCTATTCTTAATCTCACCGTACCTTTGTTTGTAAATGTATTCAGCTGCGAGTGTAGCTTGTCCCTCTCAGCTAGTACGCCGAAAACTCGGCTAAACAGAGTTTCTGCGGCGAATAAAGAAAATATTGCTCAAGCATCGACAGCGCAAAATTATTGCGCAAAAGTTGAAGCTGCTAATAGAGTGAAGAGGACACTCTCACCGATAGAAGACACCTGCGACCACCACTAATGATGGTTCTTATGACCTCCTTGCTGCTTGATTTGACTGAGCTTTGGAAAGCAGAAGAGATGGGGGCAGGTAAACTTATGTGCAAAGAAGTAGGAGAAGACTACAACACGTGCAGTTAACGGTACTTCAGAATTACTACCAAACGTCGGGCTGAGTAGCACAGCTGCCATTCAGGCATGCCGCACAGCAGTAAATTGGTGGCGCTTCACACCAACAAACAAACAAACAAATGCAGAGATAAGTGGACTGACAATCGAACGAGTAGACTTCGCGACGTGTCGCCGCAATAAGCTGCAGTGTCGCTGCGCCACAAATGCGGATTGAAAGGCGTGAAAAGCAAAAGTGTCACTTAACACGTGATTTATGCTTGCAATTTACTGTTAGTTCAAGTAGTTGCAAGTAAAATGCATTTACACACACATACACACGTATACCCGCATGAGAAGACGAATGTTTCTGCCGTTGCCCTCACAAGCACCACACCTACCACCAACTGGCGGAGAGTGAGCTGAGGTCGCGGCTGAGTCAGCTGCCGATTTGTTCACTCGAACTTTTGTGGCTGCCGAGTTTATGTTTGTGACAGAATTTTGCAGTTTACATTTATATATATTCCTCTGGCCGTAAATGTGCGTGCGACTGCTGGTGTTGTGACATGAAAGCCATAGTTCATCCAGCAAGTTCAAGTGCAACGAAAATTTTTATGCGGCGTCGACTTCCATTACTTTGATGGCGCTAATTTACGGCTCCGAGGTCAGGCAATAAGCGCAGACCGGATCCATATAATATTATATGTGTGTGCGTGTCAAACTACTTTGAAATAAACTTACATACGTGCACATATTGAGAATCGCCAACTTAAAATAAAGTGGAAATGTCGCGAATGTACGTGTATATACAGATATAATTTTTATTTTATTCCTTTCGGCAGAAGACATACCAGCGAATGGATAAAAACTCAATGGTAATCCCGTTTGTATCGTTAGTTTCAAGCTTTTCAACGTACTAATTCCAGCAGCGGTTGCTGCACCGAAAACCTTCCAAGGCCCTTTTTTCTTCTTTCCTGGCGCTGGCACATCGCGTAAGCGGTCTCTCTATAAAAAATTATTGCTGTTTATATAGTAGTCCCATTTTAATCTTTCATAGGAGTATATCTTTCATGTGGTGGGTCCTAACGAATATTTTTTGGTTACCCAGAGGACGGAGGAAGTCGTGAGCTACTCGATATACATGTAGAAGACTCATTGTTGGCCACTCCCAGGTGAATGGCAGCCAAAAAACTTCCGTGCTTGCGTGAGCTTTAGCAGGAGGAAGGGCCCCTCCATTGTAAGCGAAGCCCACGCCAATGAAGAAGAAGAAGACATTATAAAGTTGCGTTGAATTCCCACTCCATTTGAATAAGAATTCAGGAAATACATTAAATCAAACAAACATAACTGCCACACATATATGTAGAAGCCATAAGAACACGTAAAATTTGTCGCCACATCTGGTGATGTGATTTCATCCGTTTCACACAATCCTATCGCACCGCCACTATCTACTTCGTTTTATGATTTTATTGTCGAATTATAGCATTATCCTTTTTTCTTGCTAAAAAGGCAGCCATGAAAGGAAGTATTTTGCGATGTTATTATTTCCGCTTCTTTCATCTCTTACCTGCTGCTGTCATTCTCATATGAGCTCAAGAGGCGGAGGAAAGGTGGGAACCAGAAGCTCGGCGTATATTTGTGTGTCTCTTTCAATTACAAGACTACAAGTGGCATTTGTAAAGGTGTACATTTTTAATATCCGCAAATTTTGTAAATTTGTGTGTCGCAAGGATCGAAGATGTCTGCTGTTTAATCTCACAGCAGCGTATTTAAAAACATCTAAGAAGTAGACATACATACAAAGGTTAATCTTCAAAGTTATGGGGGTCTCGATTTGTTTTTGCGGCCTCCGGTAGTTTCATGTCTTCCCTATCGTCAAGAAAGGTCCTATTACCGCTAATTTGAAGAATTCCTGTAGAACATTCTCAAAACGCTACTAAAGCGTTAACAAAATTCTTCGGAAAGCTTGGTATCTTAACAACCATAATCTTCAAGCGATCTGCTCCAAATCTTTCAGGAGCAATCTACAGAAAGTTCTACTGTTGGCAGCTAGCCTCGTAACAGGACACCCAAAAGGCACTACCCTGACTCTCCTCAACTTTCTTCCTCTGGAACTGTATGGAAAATTAGAAGCGATCTGCTCCGCAATCACATTGAGTGCAACTCAACCTTGGACGAACTGCAGTATAGGGCAAACCTACATACTATTCCTGGCAGAAGTGCCAAATGTGCTGCACCACACTACCTCCAGAATATGCGACGGCTCAAAACACGATACCTTTAATAAACACAAGTCTTCCAAGCAGAGATCTTTGCAATCGTGGCAGTCGTCGAATGGCTGCTCACACTTGGGAGGACAACCAACAGTCAAGTTGCCATCAGATCTCTACAGTGTAAAAATGCCACATTAAAAGTTGCTATAAAATGTAAAAGCAATCTGAATAAACACAAGATTGATTGCAATATAGTCGTGGTCTGCGTGCCTGGACACAGGGACGCCTTCAGGTAATTCTTTGGCAGACAAGCTGACGAGAAAAAAACCCTTTTATCTATGACAAAGAGCATGGTAAAGCAAACTTCAGACGGCAGAATAGCATCACGTGCAACGTGACCAGAGTGATAAGCGACATCCTTTGCTCATAGATCGATTCCATTAGCATAACGACATGTGCAAGCAGAGGTCACAGTTCCATGGGGTTTCATGAGAAGGAATGGACTTGCAATGGGTGAAAGATGTTTGCCGGATCGGGAGGGACGAAGAGAAGGAAAAGATAGTTGATTTAAGCAATTTTAATAAAAGTTTTAAGGGCTAAATATCGATGACCATGAAAAAGGTCTAATTTTTGCTTTAATTTGTAGCATTTGCTGAATCGGTAACTGTGATAAATATCTCTGTTCTTGGTGAAATACCTGATATGTATTTATACCTAACAATTCTTTATATACTAAGATATACTAAGAGAGGTGCATATATAATGAGACGGAATAAACTGTGTCAAAGATTAGTTATCATTTTCGCGAAACAAGGTTTGCTAGTTCAAATCAGAAAGGTTTGCAATGTTTTGTCAAAGAGCTACGTTTGTTGCTTTAGCAGGTGGACAGACATACAAAAATCACGGGTTAAGAGAAGCTTCTACTCTGTCATATTAAATTGACATCACATATTCTTTAACTAGAGCTCCGGATGATTTTTGTATCTACTACTTCAGTACTTCTATATGCAAATACATACTTTTCTGTATTGAAAAATATATTTAATTGAATTATAAATACTTTCCTTCTTCCTAATACAGAGCAACACCTTCTTTTGGTATTTCCTTTGTTTGAACGCCAAATTAAATGCTTTTAGTGTTGCATACCTCAGGGCGTATCAAAACGTAATTTGCTCAACTAATTAGCTTAATGTATGTATATTTATATGGGCGTAGGTGTGATAAGGGTAATTCGTACTTAAATCTACACTTAAACACTTGCATATATATACACGTATGTATGTTTATATAAGGCAAAATAAATGCCTATTGTTTGATATAATTCTAACATAGTCTGCAAGTTCGTGGTGTGTGAAAAGTAAGCGAAACTCACCACATCAATGATTTGCATTAGCGTCAGACCGAAACTCAGCTGCAGTGGATCGGATTCATTCACAACGGGCCGCTCCAGACTGTTGTAGTTGTCGAGCAGGGCGTGCAGTAGGCGTTTCTCATGCGGGCCAGCTGTGCAAACTGTAAGGAGAAAACAAACAGAAAAGAGATGAGCAAGGAAAATAAAGAGTTTGAAAAACGCCACGCTGAAGCGAAGCAAATAAAATAAAAAGACTTATTCTCTTGTGTAAAGCGAATGCACAAAAAAATCGTTAAATCTCACACGCGCATCCTGCTCCTTCAATAACCGCAGCAAAGGTGAATTGTTTGTGTTTGCTTGAGTTCGCTTATGTTAAGTGTTTGATTTGTGTTGACGCCCGCATTCACGCTAAATTTACACTACTTACCAACAACAACAGCAAAAGCAAAGTTGCGTATGTAACGAATCTAAAATCACCATTTGTTACGCAACGCCATACAGTGGAGACCTTTCGACCAATTTAAATAAAGTTGAAAAAAATTAATAAATATTGGTTGTGCAAATTATTTTGGTCCGAAAAAATTAAAAAGGGAAAGTTTAAAAATGCTGAAAAACAGTTTATCCCGCAAGTGAATACAATATAAATAAAATTTTGATATTTCTTAGACGAGAGCCAAGAAAACTGCAGCGGCCATATAAACGATTAGAAATTCGCTGTCCGATTCGACGAGTCCTGGCATTCACACCGGTGGATGATTATCCCGCCGCAGTCCGCATTAAAGCGAAGTTCTTCAAAAAGCTATGATCGGCGCACCCGCAACGATGTTAGAATTGTGTTTGCTGACTTTAAGGCCAGGGCGAGCAAGGCAGTGAGGTATAGATACTGAGATTTGAGGGAGAAAGCGAAATACATGTAAAAACAGAATAAGCAAGAGGTCGAGATGTGTCGGTTTAAACAGTTTGAAAAGCTGACCGACAGGGGGTATTTACGTTGCGGCGACGTCCAGAAGGTTTGAAGGCGGAACCATACTTTTGTCGGACCCAGATAGGTGATCTTGCGATTGATGACCAGAGAGTCTGATTAGAAACAGAGAAAGAGGAGTGCCTTCACTGCCTGGTGAAAAAGGCTTGCTGTTGCTGTACGTGGTATTTCCAATTGTCGACTAGCAGCGAAAAGAAGGAAGAAATGACGCGCATTTGCTAATTGGGTTTTAATCTCGTAGTCGGTGTCTACGCCAGTGAAGAAGAAGAAACAGAAAATCGACCATGATATGGTATGACAGACATCTGAAGATAAAACAGCTTGAAATATCTGACAACGGAAGTCTTTCAGCCACTTCTAAATATTCCCACTGTACCCATCTACAGCCTCCCGCCTGCGGCGTTTAGATGCCTTTGAAAATTGAAAACGGAAAATCATCAATGAAAACGTGTAGCGGGAAACGGATGTGGGGAGCACGGAAGAGTAAATTAGATTCGTGAAAAGAAAGAAAACTCGGTGGGTGGAAAGCCGGGAGGATACGAAGTTGGAGTGACAAAAGGAGAAAACCTCAAAATGTGATGAGCAACCACCGATAACGAGTGTGTACGCCCAAGAAGCCAAAGTCAGAGTAGGGCGTTCATCACGTTCGCGCGTAGGTGTCATCGCGTTATTCGCTGCTTTGACTTTACCACGCGCATTTGTTGCGATTTAATTTTGGCAATTTCTGTGGTTATGCGATCTCATGTATATTTCGTGGAAGTTGACGGAGTGGATGGTGGAGTTTTTACGCTATCGCTTGCGGATTGGTGCAGCGATTCAGAGTATTTTTACGGTATTTACGCAGCACACCACAAATTACTGATAGCGAGAGGTTCGGCTTTTTGTTTTTCCTTTCCATTGTTATTGCTATTTTATTGACGGCACTGTTTGGTGCGCCCTTAGCGTTGTTGTTGTTGTTAAGTGTATTTTATTTTTATTTTTATACAGCTTACTTTTATATATTTTGTTTTTGTTTCATTTTAGTTTACGGCACTTTTCCCCTGCTTCTATTATTAATTTCCTCCAACTATTTCCTTTGTGCGATTTATTCGCTTGCCACGTTTACAGTTCTACAAAAATACATACGTGGGTATGTGTGTATATATACCGTTGTTCTGCTGTTATTATATTTCAAAATTGAATTTGCTCGCCCCAAATAGTCGCTCAGCATTTGGATCTACTTTGACAATCAGGTTAACCTCAAATACCCACGATAACGGTGTTGGTGAAACGGTAAACCGCTAAGAACATATTATTTGCAGCAAAATTTCGATTTACCACTCACCTGTTTGTGCTATTTTGTTGGTTGCTAACAAAGGACTTTGTCGGATGAAGGTGGTCGGAGGAAAGGACGTGCAGCAAGGACGAGAGGAGTTGTATCGATTTGGAAATTTGATAAGTTCATAAATGCACTTGTGGCTGTTGTGGTGTTGTTGTTACAAGATTTTTAAGAGTGAATTATGTACGTGTGTAGATGTCAGTAGCTGATAAACGCGATTATTTGCCCATATATCCTTTTATATCCCTCTCAATACCTCAAATGCAATTTAAAGCGGAATGAAAATAGAGATAAAAAAGTTTAATTTATTTTAGCGCTGGAGGGGTTTTTTTCTAGAAGAAATGCTCGTTGAAAATGTTTGGCAAATCTGCTGTGCGAATATATCTTGTTAGGACAGCCGGATGGCTTCTTTTATGTCGGCTTTATGTCTCTAGGTTCCAATGAAAATATTTGGAAAACTTTGGTCTTAGTTAGAAGACAGCTAAGGCACTCACACATGCACATGAAGCATCTCGGAACTAGAAACATGTAAAAGCTAATCGACTAACATAGCTCCGAGCTGGTGCCTGGCTGTCTTCTATAGCTATTTGAAATCTCTATATGCTGGGGAGACATCTTAATTTAATTTTTTGATTGGCAAAACGGGTAGTTGGAGGACCTGACAGCAAGCGATTGCATCTATGCCGTCGTTGGACTCATTAAGGACACCTGCGCTTCACTTGTACACTTCATTGATGCAAAGGGGCAAGAAAGCAAGGCGTCTTCTTTTCCGAAGATGATGATGGGATGGTCCAGTCGTGGAGCGAAATATAGAGTTTCTCAACACAGTAAACCATTTTTCGCAATGCGAACTGGTTGGTGTTGGCTACTATTTAACTTCTGCTTTGAATGTGCCGCGTACTAGAAGCAACAAAAACCTCTCCTATGGGTGCTGTTTATTTGTTCTTTGTTTTTCCCAATATTCTCTCCTCTCCACCACACATGACCTCTGTTGGCATTTGGTCGTAAATTTATTGCCAATTGAATGATCACAAGGCTGCATTCGGTGTGTATGTACCCAGTGGAGGTCTCCAAAAGTTTGGCCGTCTAAAAGAAGTGCTCAGCTGTGGTCAACAAGAAGGGAATCATGTTTCAGCTGGATCACGCACATCGATAGAAACTCGCCAGAAGATCCGAGGTTCTTAAGCATGCACTTCACAGACCGGACCACGCAACAAGTGATTACCCTCAGTTTTTGTCTATGGCGAATTCTTTGCTGGTGAAGAATTGCCCTAAAGAGAAGTCTTTCAAAAGCGATTGTCCCAATTTTTGTGCTGATAAAAATAAGGATTTCTAAGAGAGGAGTATAGCGACGTCACCTTCAAAATAACAAAAAACTATTTACCAAAACCATGCCTTCACTTCAATGCAAAAATAGTGGATGACTTGTTGCTGGAATATTTATACTTTACAGAAGAGGTCGCCACAGCAGTAATCGTGGCTACAACATCTAATCTTAAAAGCAATGGCAAACAGAACAAGTTAGAGGGCTCCAAGTTCTTGAAGCAAAGCGGCGTTCTATCTTCATTTGTACAACAATCGTATACGAGTATTTCATAGAAAAGCAAGTAAGGTCAGCAGGCAGTGGGTTAAGGCCTAAAGGAAGTGATCATAAGCAATCGTAGAACTCTAACAAAGTGGTTAAGTATTTTTAAGTTAATGAGAGTGAGAGTGTGACCATGCCTATGACTAAGAGCATGAGTATGAGTAAGGGTACAAATATGTCCCTTTCTATGTGCATGGTTGAAGGTGAGTATGAGTATATGTACGATCGTGAGTACGAGCACGAGTTTGTCATCATGAATGTCTATGACGAAGTGCATGGACGTGAGTACGACTGTTATTGAGCTGTAACTGAGATTGTGAGTATTAGTTTGAGTACGAACATAAGTTTGAGAATATTTCTGAGCTACGGCACCTAGATGAGGAGGGAAAAAGAGGAAAACAGAAATGGAAAAATCACATACGAATTGTTGAAATGAAACGTAATTAAAAATTGGAAGCAAATATGAAGCAATGATTAGAGAGTGGAAGGTGGCAGACATTAAACCGTTACTGCTTTCCTTAAATGGTGGTTAAGATAATTAAAAGCTTCTTGATGAGTTGCTGCTCTGTTCAACGTTGAAAGACATAACGGCTTAATTCAACCCATAGTCATATTTGCTAAAAGGGGAAAGAAGGAAAAAAGCATGGCAAACAGCTGCGACGTCTCTTAATAACAAAGACTTAAGCAGGCCGGAAAATGATGAATGAATTTTCATTCAAAGCTTCGACTAGCCGACTGGTTAATGGTCTGATGATAAGTGCATTATGCTCAGCGCCCCAAATTATCTAAACAGATGATTAAAGCAAAATTTATATGAATGGAAATGTATTTCAGTTAGCTGCTGAGTGATTTGGTACTACAGACACCGTTAAATTGCTCTTATTTGCTTTTCCAGCGTAAATGGGTAAACATTAGCGAAGTGAAGCTGTTAATGGTAGACGGCAGATGGTCATTTGGTTCTGGGCGTCACTCCATTCATGAGAATTCCTTGATATTTTGAAGAGAAATCAGCAAAATGTGCTAAAATAATAAATGTCTTAAATTATCATAATACAAGCAGACAGAAATTATTCATATAAGTACGTGAGTAAATGATGAAAGCTTTTCATGTGCCGTGTACCAGTGGGGAAAGTCATAATTCTCATTATTTCAGCTGAAATACCCTAAGGTCTCGGATTGTGAAGAATGTCACTCGGAGTGCGGGGGTGTTGAGGTGAAAGAAAAATAGTGGATAAAACGAAAAAAGACAAAAGGAAAAAAGAGACTATTCGAGTTA